GTGGAAGCACTGAGGCACTAGGTACTTCATTGGCATGGCTTAAACAAAGGAATGCATGCATGTAGGTGTATGTGTGTCTTTTTTTTTGAAGCAGGCCCTACAGGGTCTCACCACATAGATCAGACTTGTAGTGATCATCCTGTTTTCAGTCTTCCCAAGTGCTGGGATTGCAGGCATGCACCACCACTTCCAGTCTGGTGTATATGTGTCTTCATAGCAGCACCTGTGGGACTATGAAGGAGAATTGGGTTGTGTGATGGGAAGTGACACTGGAGAATTAGATGGTGATTGGAAAGGTCGGCTTGAGGACCATTTTTAGAATTTTGGATCTTACCTTCAAGGCAATGAAATTTCAAACCAGTAAGTGAAATGATCAGATTTGTATTTTAAGAAACCTACTCTAGCAACAGGGTAGAATTTTGATGAGGCAGTTGAGACACTGTGGGGGGCTGGTTGGGACATGTGGAATAACCCAGGTGAGAGGTGATGAGGACCTTTGAGGCTTCACTGTGTTGGGCTTCCTCAGGTCCTGGCACTGCAGTCTTGGGGGAGCTTCTAGAACCATTTTCTCCCCACAACAGCTTGCTGTCTACATGCACACTTCCCTTCCTTCTGTTAAGAGCACTCCTAGTTCCCTGCTAGCAGAGTGGACAGGACTAACAACTTCTTGTGATTTAGGGTGATGCTTTAAGTAGAAGACAGCCAACTTTTTAAGGATAGATAATAAATATTTTAGGTTGTATGGACTGTAGTCTATGCCGTAACTATTTACTGTGGCTTTTATAGGACAATAAAACTTGATTTACAAAAACAAGCTGGAGTTGGCATGTGGGCCATTATTTGCCAATGTCTAGTTTAACATATAACAAGAGTAATAGTCTTCAGTGCTGTGGTACAGCACTGTTGGTCAACAACATGGGTCTGAAGCCAGGTATACAAGGTTTAAATCCCAGCTTTACACTTACATCTCTTAACTTTCTCTGTGGCTTAGTGTACTTATTTGTAAAATAATGATAACAGTGTACAACTTAAGATTGTTTTTTTTGGTGGTGGTTGTTTGGTTTTTTGTTTTGGGAACTGAACTCAGGGACTCATGTTTGCCAGGTAGGTGCTGCTGAGCTATCCCTGGCCCTCTAATACTATTTTAAAGAAATAAGTTCATGCATGTGAAGCACTTAGAACATTGCCTGACACATGGTAAATAATAAGTGGTAGCGATAATGAGAATGTTGACATCTTTGTTTTCTCTTCAGACATGTTTGAAAGAGTCAGATGACAGTGATACAGAGGATTTTGGCTCTGATCAAAGTGAAGACTGCCTCTCAGAAGCAAGCTGGGAACCTGTTGATAAGAAGGAAACTGAGGTATGTGTGCTGGGTACTTATGAGGGACAGAACATTTATCATATTTCTCAGAGATGAGTGACATGCTCTCCCCCAGCCAAGTGACATCTTTGTAGGCAAGTAGTGTAGTCAAGTCATAAAGACCAGCTTTGTCATTTTTTTCCTGAGCTGCTTTCCTTGTTGCAGTGTTGCTTTTCTACCTTATAGATAAAGACCTGGAATTTTTCGTTGTCTTTCTGTTAGGTGACCCGCTGGGTTCCAGACCATATGGCATCACACTGCTATAACTGTGACTGTGAGTTCTGGTTGGCCAAACGAAGACACCACTGCAGGTGAGATGTTTTTGTGACTCATAAAGCAGTGCAGTACATGTGTGTAGAACTAAATTGAATCAATCTGAAAATGAAGGCATCCTTATGGGAACTATTTGTGTTTGTCCTCAATCTTTTCATTTATTCATTGATAGGCTTTTGACTCATGTATTCTCAGTTACTTGGCATTTCTGGTGAAGTTTTTCTTTGTGCTTTGGCAGAAATTGTGGGAATGTATTTTGTGCTGGATGCTGCCACCTGAAGCTGCCCATCCCTGATCAACAGCTCTATGACCCAGTTCTCGTCTGTAACTCATGCTATGAACACATTCAAGTGTCTCGTGCCAGGGAACTCATGAGCCAACATCTGAAGAAACCTATCGCGACAGCTTCCAGTTGAATGCCAGAGGAGATGACCTGTCCAATTTTAGCAGGTTTGAAGGGAGGCTCTACTTCAGGTTTAGTGTGGAAGGTTCCTTGGTGTGGCTCATGAAATCACAGAGCTCAAAGATACCGTCTTGAGAAATCCTCCTTGGTACCTTGAGACTGGAGCAGAGGAATTTCAATTTGGCAGAGGTCCTCTACTGGAGAGACCCTCACCTTGGGGTAATGGTCTGATGCAGACCTAGAGTCTGGGACCTTAATATTGAGTTGGTGACTTCTTTATCATGGAGGGTCACAAGATACTGCCTGGTGCAAAGTGCCCAAACAGCAATAGAAAGGCATATGTGTAACCAAACTCCAGGTGATAACCAGACCCATCTCTCCACCTTGAAAAAAGCAGATACTACTATACAAGATAGGAATTCCTATCCTCTTTGAGATGAACTCTATTCTGTACCTCTGTGCTCTGTGTCTGTGCATGAAGGCTCAGTCTTTAGAGGCACTCCCTCTAGTTGCATTAGTACTTTCTGTGGAGTTTGGCTTAAGGACTGACTGGTTTGACAAGTGAAGGTTTCAGTGTGTTTTTCACTTGGCTCATCAGCCAGCATCAGTGAATATTCAGCTTAGGGGGACAGTTCTCAACAGTAAGACATTTTGGGGAACAGAAAAACTCTGTTGATGTTTAGTCATGGCAAAAATCAGTTCTTTTGAGCTGTGAAGGCAGATGCCTCTTCACTTTGTGAAGGCAGCTCTTGAAGTATGCACTGTGAAGAATGAGAAGGGAAAAGCAAAAATTATCCTTGTGAAATATCTGCTGATTGTGCCCTACCCTTTGCGCCTGACTTCCTAGTTGTCCTGGTGCTAACACAGGAGCTACACCTTGATCCTCTCCTGGCATGAAAACAAAACAAAGGTTTTTGTTGTTCCATTGCCCACTTCCCCCATGTTGTCTTTCCCTTGGCTGCTGCCTCCTCTGGGTCACACTGCTTCTTATCCTGAACACTTGACACCTTGAGGGTAGAACTTAGTGTTTGGTTTTTACCTCCTAGAATATGCTGTTTGGTATGTGAGGGTTTCCGTATAAATGCTGCTGTCTATTTCTGTGCACTTAACAATGGAACCCAAACAGGAGAGAAAAGCCTTGATACCAAAATTGGGAGATAAAATGTGTCCATTTGGACCAAACATACTTTTTGTTTTGATTTTGTTTTTCATCTTAATATGTACCAGTGGCACTTAACCAAAAGATACCGTGATATAGCCATGTACTGTGGTTTGGACAGATACAGTCTCCTTGACCCATTATGAAACCACTAGAATTTCCTTTATATATTTTGCTTAATCATTTGTGTGTAAAAAGTAAATTACATTTAGGTGTATCCTGTTTTAAAGCTATTGTAGTTGTCCTTCTCACTTCTACTCTGAAGAAAAAAAATCATTCCAAAATAACTAAAATCTGCATTTAGAACAAGAATTGTTATTTGTCCTGACCTTTACTTCAGTCCTACAGAGAAGCATCTGTGCTTCTTTTATACTTGCCATGGATGTAACCTAAAAAGTTTTGGCATATTTAGGTCAGCCTAGCAGAACTTTTTTTTAAAATGGAGCTGAATAATGGAGATTTTGTGTCTGGGAAATTCCTGAGAGATCATTGAAAAAAATAACAAACTCTTCCTTGTCTCTGATACATAAAATTCTTTTAAGCATTTTCTCAATTATTAAAACTTACTGCCAGTCATGAGTGGTTTTTTAAGTTAAAATTGATTTACATTGATTTACATTGCACTTCACTCTGCCTGTCTTGGAGGGTATAAGATTGATAACATGGGGAGACTGTATCTGTCTACTTTGTGTGGCTGTTTAGAGGGACTGTCCCATCAGTGAATAAACTGCATGGCCTTGGAGAGAGACTCTGGGCTCTTGGCTCAGATAGATTCATCAAATACTCCTTTCAGAGCTGTTGTGGGTGTAAGTGACATAATGTGGCCAAAAATCCAAACTGTGCAGTTGCGTTGTGACAAACATGCAATGTGCTGTAAAAACTCAATATGGTTTAAATAAAATCTCTATATTAGTGCTGCTTTGTTGGGTCTTTTTATTTTAGTTTCTGTGAAAACATAATACTCATTGTTCTTCTGCCCATAAGAAAATTTTACATCATTTTCTGATGATTTGTTTTTAAAATGGACTTTTTTTTTTTTTATGAGCACAACACCTCTTATATTTGTATTTATTGACTGGGCAGGATTTATTCTTATGGATTCGGTAGAAGTCTATCCCATCTCAAGTGAGTTTTCTCTTGTGTCAAATGTCAGCAGTGGTGGGTTGAAAAAGCACACAGAATTGTATTTCGGTTCGAATATGATTCTTTTTTGCCAAACATAATGCTTATCTCACCTTGAATTAACTGTTTTGAGCAAAACATTGCCATGAATGAATATATTTTCAAAGATAAATCTGGGGAGATGGCTCAGTGGAATAAGCACTTCCCTGGCAAGTAAGTGCAAGGGCCTGAGTTCTATCCCCGGTTCCGAACCAAAAAAAAAAAAAAGCTATTTAAACATGAATTAATTGATTCATAATATTGTACTTCCATCCCATCATTTTGATTTGGAGACCAGCAGTTCAGCAGTTGGTGAAGTTTGGCGCTTTGTTCTCAGGAAGCATTTTCTGTCACTTAATGCAGCCTTCTGCATTCTGAATGCCACAGCCAGCTGGGTTCAAGGGTCCCACCCTTCGTGTTCGGTGGTGCGTAACTGGACTTCTTTCTTTGCAGGACATAGAACTTCCTTGTGGGCAGTGCTCCTCCCTCCGAAGCGGCCCGTGCGGGACCTGGAGGGAATGTGGCCTCTGGCCTCGTCCCGCGAGTCGCGTGCCCGTGGCCACCTCGGGGTGCGCGTGGCAGGAACTCGAGGCCTCATTGGCTGCGCCGGCAGCAGGGACTGCGCCAACGGTCCGGGGGCTGAGGCGCAGGCAGGAGGGGGCAGGGCGAAGCGAAGGCCGGGGTGGGGGGGATCGAGAACGGGGTGGGAGAGGGAGCCAGGCTCTTCGGGGCGAGGCCCTGGGCTCGGCAGGGGCCATGGAGGAGGCGCTGCTCTCCACGCCCATCAACCCCAATAACTTCCCTGCCAAGCTGTGGCGGCTGGTGAACAGCCCCCGGTACCGCTCGATCCGCTGGGACGGCCGCGGAGAGGGGCTGCTCATCGACCAGCCGCTCTTCGAGGCCGAGCTCCTGAGCCCTCCGAGCCCGGGGGCCGGGGCCGGGGCCGGGGCCGGGGGCGGCGGCGTTGGGGCCGCGGGGGCCGAGCCCGAGCTCTTCAAAACCACCAACTTCACCAGCTTCATCCGCCAGCTCAACCTCTACGGCTTCCGCAAGGTGGTGCTGGGCGGGCCAGGGCCGGGGCCAGGGCCCGGGGGGCCGGCAGGGGACGGGCCGCTGCACCACTTCCACAGCCCGCACTTCCGCCGGGACCAGCCGCAGCTGCTCGTGCACCTCAAGAGGCTCACCAGCGCCAACAAGGCCAAGCTGGCGGCGGGCCTGGAGGTGCCCTGCCGTCCCCCCAACCGCTTCCAGCGGCTGCTCATCACCTCGGCCTCCGCCTCCGCCTCCGCCTCCACCTCCCCGCTGCAGCACCAGGAGTCACCTCCACAGCCCGCAGGGCCGCGGGCGGAGGCGCACGGTGAGTCAGGGCCACCCGGACCCTAGCCTGTCCTCAGGGCGCACAGGCGCCAGGGAGCAACCGCCCTGGAGAGCAGAGCGCAGGGACCCGGGGCCCTAGAGGCAGGTGGTGAGGTCACTTCCATCATTCCCGCAGGCACCAGCACACCAGGCCCTTAATGCTTCCTCCAAAGGGATCCTAAGCATTTACCAGCAACAAGAGAGACACTGCTTTAGACTCTCATTCCACCCTTCTTCAAGGGTTGAAACCCCGAATTTAAACCCTAGAGTTGGGATTGTGACAGCTAGAACCCCAAGAATTTACCTGCTCTTAAAACTCCATAGTCATTTACCTTCCTAAGGCCCATTCTTTCCACTGTGAACATCTAGGATAAGTAGTTCTTTGTTGAAATACAGGGTCTGAAGGAAACCTGAGGGTCTCCTGGCTCCAGCAAGAAGCAAAGCTCCATGGGTTAAAACCGGGAAGGAACAAAGTCACAGCCAAGAAAAATTAGAACATTATACCATCCAAGGGAACCTGGAAAAGGTACCTTGAATGGGTTTGTCCTTGAAAAAACATGGCACTTTCCACCCACTGAGATATCTAATAAGTCTTCTAAGAAATGTTATGACAATAATCACATTTAAGGCTTGTAAGTAATATGTAGGATGCTGGACCGTACTTAGTAACTTATGGGCAAAAATAAATGGTTTCCAAGAAATTGTTTCTTCTGGAATTGACTAAACATTTGTTGCAGCTATTGAGAACTTGACAATTTTAGGTGTATTGTTAGACAAATGTAAGGCAAACATGGTTTTCTTTGTATCTGTCAAGTTCTAGTTCAAAAGAATTTTGTTTTTGCGGTACTGGGAATCCAAGTCAGAACCTTGGGCTTGCCAGGCTGGTACTTATGCTGCTGAGCTATCTCCCTGGTCCCATTCAAAAGAATTTTACACATGTAAAGCCTTTGGATTCTTTACTAGTGTCTATGATCTCTCAAAACTGAAAACCCATGTATAAATCTGGAGTGAGTAAAGGTTCAGAAACCTTAATTGTAATGAATTATTTTATGGCCATGGATCCTCCTTTTACTTTGCCACAAAGATGAGGCTAATAATATACTCTTTTTTGTTATTAATTACATTTATTGGTATATTTTAAGTGTACATAATGATCACATTTATCATAGGGAATTTATACTGTACATGACATAATTAGATTCTTTTCTCCCATTTTCCTATTATCCCTTCAACCTCCTTTTCCTCTCCTTATTTACAAAATTTTCTTGCTTAAAGGGTCCATGATATAAAGCACCATACCAAAAAAGCAACAGGTTATAATAATGAGAATTCTTCACCTTTACCCAGGAAAGTAGTAGAAATATTTTCATCATGTTAAAATGGATTTAACATAAATCTGAAAGCTGGACATGGTGATACAAACCTGCAATTTCAGCACTCAGGAAGCTGAGGTACAAGAACTTCAAGTTTGTGACCAACCTGAGATAACGTGGCATGCTGGAGGTCAGCCTGGACTGTATATCAAAACCCTCTGTGAAAACATACACAAAAGAGAGAACAAGCAATCTGGATTATTTTTGCATTATGAAAAATATTAAACATGCAAATGATACTATGTTCAATTTAAGTTAGGTCCATTAAAAGACTAGGTTGTAGGGGCCGGGGAGATGGCTCAGTAGAATGAGCGCTTCCCTGGCAAGCGCAAGGGCCTGAGTTCAATCCCCAGTTCTGCCAAAAAAAAAAAAAGACTAGGTTGTGTGTGCAGTTTTAATTAATCAATTTAATTTATTTATTTATTGCAATACTGGGGGTTGAACTCAGGACTCTGTGCTTGCCCGTGTGTGCAGTTTAGAAGACAGAGGTCTAAGTTCTTTTAACAAGTTGGAAAATGCTTGCCCGTGTGTGCAGTTTAGAAGACAGAGGTCTAAGTTCTTTTAACAAGTTGGAAAAAGCGATGGCTTAGGAATGTTCTAAAGGAATTCTAAAGGAATAGTAAGTCACTTTGAAGTGATAGACATTGATTTTGGTGGGGAATTACATGGGGAAAGATAGAGACGGTACTATAGCATAAAGACTAGAAATACATTCTTGGGACAAATGAGATAACCACTTTAAAGAAAGAAACATAGAATAGAGTTCTATGAGGTAAACCTTAACAGGAAAGTAAGTAAAGAGTTCAACGTCTTTTAGTTTTTAATTTAAAAACAAAAACAAACAGAAAACAAATTTAAAGGGACACTCTTCTAATCCTGAAACTACTAGTTTATTGTGATAGATTCATTTTTTTTTGCGGAACCGGGGCTTGAACTCAGACCCTTGCGCTTGCCAGAGAAGCACTTATTCTACTGAGCCATCTCCCCAGCCCCTAGATTCATATTTTAATTAAAATATAAACTAGAATTTGAGAAATCAAGATAGAGAATTCTTTAGCTGCATCAGTTATTGACATTCAGTTTATCCTAAAAGAGGTCAGAAGAACTATCAAGATATTGCACACTAAAGGCAGTATTTTGATACAGAAAAAACAACTCTTACTCTTTTGTGTTCTTTGATCTCGTTTCTTCCTATTTAAACCCAGTTGTACCTTAAAAACACCATTTTAACTGGAGAAATATAAAGGCTATCTACAGTGATTTTATTCATTTATAGCTCAGTTGGTCATCATTTTATTTTTATTTTTATTTTTTGTTATTTTTGAGACAAGGTCTTACTATGTTGTCCAGACCAGCCTTGAACTCACAGTGATCCTCCTGCCTCAGCCTCCCAAGTGCCAGGGTTATAAGCCTCCATCACCATGCCTAGCTCTGGCCTGGTCATCATTTTAGAGATTGTTTAAAACAAATTTAATTCATGCTTTTTGAATATAGGTAACGTGCCAGTTTATGTATGACTAGGTAATTTTTATGCACTTTTTATGGTTCATTAAGGCGTTGTGTCATGGGTTTAGGTGGAAAATAATTCTATTACATGTGTTCTAAGTTCTTAGTGCTCCTTTTTTTTTCCACACCTAATTTCTATTCTACTTGAATCTTGCCTTGATTTATGCCTGGCCAGTCAGCTGCATCCTGATTTCTATTTTGTTTTCTGTGTTCTACTTCAGCTTGTTCTTTGAATATTCCTTTTATAGTAGAATCCTATTTTAGAACCTAGTTCTCTTATTTATTTCCATTGAGTTAACTGTCCTGTTCACCTTCCAAGAATATTCATGATAAGAAATGTGAAAATCCCATGTTTTCTACTTTTTAGTCTCCTTGTTGAATTTTGTTTTTAGTGGCAATTTGTTTTCCAATATTTGTCAAAAGGTTCTAAAATAAGATTAGAATTATTTTACTAATTCTGGAAAGAAGATAATCTCTTTTTGCTCAGGCTCAATAAGTTTTAGGGCTCTTCCCTGTGAATTGACTAGTTTCATTTTCATAAAAGGAATGAAATATTTTAGAAGCTGGAATCTATCCCGTCCTATGTTTCTAGAATTTTTTTTTCATAATTTTATTGAGAAACAATAGCAAGGAGACAGTTTCAAATCAAATTGGTAGGACAGTTTCAATAATTAACACATTGCATATTCTCTTCCTAGTGGTTATTTGCTGTACAAGATGCAAACATGATATCCTATTTACAAACACTATTAGAGGGCCGGGGAGATGGCTCAGTAAGTGTCTGAGTTCAATCCCTGGTTCTGCAAAAACAAAACAAAACAAAACAAAACAAAACAAAACAAAACAAACACTATTGGAACAAATCCCTCTATTCATTAAGAGAATGTAACTATATATATCTATCCTAACCATTTTGAATACACAGATACAAAGTGGACTTTCATCCCTATCCCCTTTTTTATTTAGTTCCATCATTTGAATATTATAGGTGTGTTAACTCAGCAAAATATTCTAAGAATCCAGTAGTCCATAATAGTAGAATTTTAGATTGAAACATTGCCACATGAATTTTAAAGATCTTTTGGAGACATAGATGATGTTCTACAAAGTTGGTCAGAATAGAGTCCTATGAGGTAAACCTTAACAGGAGAGTAAGAGTTCAACATCTTTTAGTTCTTTATTTAAAAGCAAAAACAAACAGAAAACAAATCTAAAGGGACACTCTTCTAATCCTGACAACTACTAGTTTATTGTGATAGATTTATATTTTAATTAAAATGTAAAATAGAATTTGAGAAATCAAGATAGAGAATTCTTTAGCTGTATCAGTTATTAACATTTAGTTTATCCTAAAAGAGGTAGAAGAACTATCAAGATATTGTACACTAAAGGCAATATTTTGATACATAAAGCACACAAGGGTCAAGTGGTGGGCAGTTTGTGACATTCAGAAACACTTTTTTGAAGAGTAAGTTTCTTTAGGAAAATAAAGAATCATTAATGGTAAGTTCAATGTGTGTGTACTTAGGGAATTTCCAGTCAAGTGCCATCACAAAAATAATATTTTGTACGTTAAAGGAAAAAGGGAAAGTCATTTCTAAGAGATCTACTATTTGAACACATGCAGTCTTCTGATCTAGGACTTTTTCCTTTACTGGATAAAGAATTCTTGATTTTCAGGGCTCCAGAATTTGTGTTGCTTAAAATGTGTGCATATATTTGTTTATTATTGATATGAATGTTTTATTCTTTTTTAAAAGTCATAAATGAATTATTTTATCCTTTTTTATGTGTTTAATACAGGATCTACAGGGTCTCACTACACAGATTGGACTCATAGTGATCCTCCTGTTTTCAGCCTCCCAAGTGCTGGGATTATAGGCATGTGCCACCACACCCAGTCTTATTTTATCCTTTTTTATTAGTACATGTTTACAGTACATGATGAGTACATTCATTGCGGGAAGTTGGTACATCTATATAATCTTAATTCCTTTTTCTTTTTTTTCTCATCCTCTACTCTTCTGTCTCTCCCTGATCCTTCTAACTCTTGTTCCTTTACATTCACAAAAGTTCTGTTTTTCCCTGAAATTTTTTTCCCTACCTCTTTTCCCTTCTCTTCCCTGCCCTCCATGTCTTGATTCTGCATCCATTTGAAACAGATCTGTCTACTTCCTATTTATCTTCTATTTTGTGCTGTCTGTCTGCCTCTCTCTAGCTCTCTGTGTCTCTTTAGTTTCTCATAAGGGAAACCATGTGATATTTAAAATTTTTTTTTTTTTTTGGCAGAACCAGAGATTGAACTCAGGCCCTTGTACTTGCCAAGGAAGCACTTATTCTACTGAGCCATCTCCCCAGCCCCCGATATTTAAACTTGTGTGTCTGACTTAATTCACTGAATATTACATTCTCAGGTTGCATACATTTATCTAAGAATACCTCGTTTATCTTTCCCTATGATAAATTTTGACTCCATTGTGTATAAATACATTTTCTTTATCCATTTATCTGTTGGTAGGCATATAGGCCATTTCCAAGATTTGGCTATTATGAGTTGTGCTGCTTTAAACAGGGTATGCATGTACCACTGTAATGTGACAATGACTAGCTCTTGGGAATGGTTGGGTCAAATGGAATTTCTACTTTTAGTTTTTTGAGAAATCTCCATATTGATTTCCATAGCAATTGTACGTGTTTACATTCCTACCAAAAATGTAGAAGGATTGCTCCCCCAAAATCCCACCCCACAATTATTATTTGATTTCTTGATGGTAGCCATTTTTTTCTGGAATAAGATGCTATCTCAGTGGTGCGTTTCTCTAATGACCACTGATATTGCACATTTCTTCACATATTTATTGGATGTTTTATACTTCTTAGAAGTGTCTGTTCATTTTAGCTGCCCAGTTTTTGATTGGGTCTTTTATTTTGAGGGATCTGGTTTTTTTGTTGTTGTTGTTGTTATTTTGTTTTGTTCTTTATATATTCTAATGTTAGTCCTCTGAGGAATGGCTGGCATTTTTTCCCCATTTTGTAGGTTTTATCTTCACTCTGTTGGTTGTTTCCTTTGGTGTGTAGAGTTTTTAGTTTAATATGATCTCATTTGTTGGTATTAGTTAACATTTAATACTTTATTCTTTAATAAAACATAAGAGAAATAGAATGGGAGATGTGTAACATATTAGTCTACTTAGAAAAGTAGAAATTTGAGTGCCATCGTTCAATACAATATTGTTGTATTTATTGTAGCTAATACAATAAAGTGTAGTACTTGAGTATCACATAAATAAAATTTTAGCTTTGTTTTACAGGTTAGTTTAATACAATAGTAATTTGTGAACCACATAATTTAATACAGAAAACTCTTTTTAGGAATGAGTTAGCTAGCTTTGTTCACATAAAAAAAAATGTAATCTATAAGTTTAGCCTGCAACATTTAAGTTCTTTTCTCATTGCCCTTTTTTTCTTTCTCTGTATTCTCTCTCTCTGTATCTCTCTCTTCCTCTTTAGGTAAGGGAAAGAAGATATCTGTATCAGGTATCTGAATCTGAATATGTGAATTTTTTTTTTTTTAAGACAAGGTCCTGCTGTGTAATTCACGCTAGCCTTGACTTTACCATATAGTCCAGACCGGCCTTGAACTCACAGTGATACTCCTGCCTCAGCTTCCCAAGTGCTGGGATTACAGTCTTGCTCCTCTAAGCCTGACTGGATATGTGGATTTTTAACAAACTTTCCCAGTGATTCAGATGTTAATCCATGGTTTGAAAACCATTGCTTTGGCCAAGCAATGGCCGTGACTCATCCACATGGCTGACACTGACAAAGGTTCTACACTCTGAGGTACAGGATTTCAGGATAAATCCTGAGGGGATTTCACTAACCTTATCAGACCCAAAAGCTACAACTCTTGTTGCATAGGTCCTGCTTTACCTTGGTCTTAACCGTCCAGCATAAAAGTATAAAAATGAAATATAAGAAGTAAAGCCATGCTGTTATGTTGAGCTATAGGGGACTCAGGTCAACAGTTTCTGACATTGCCAGTGAAGCAGAAGACCCAATACTATTATGGGCTACTGGACTCTTTTAGAACATTTTACTGAGTTTACACACCTATAATATTCAAATAATGGAACTTAACAAAAAAGGGTATACAGATGAATGTCCATTTTGTATCTGTGTATTCAAAGTGGTTAGGATAGATATATAGTTACATTCTCTTAATGAATAGAGTGATTTGTTCTAATGGTGTTTGTAAATAGGATATCAAGTCCGCATCTTGTATAGCAATTAACCACTAGGAAGAATGTATGCAATGTGTGAATTATTGAAACTGTCCTACCAATTTGATTTGAAACTGTCTCATTGCTATTTGTTTATCAATAAAATTATGGGAAAAAATTTAAAAACTACATTACTGACGTTGAAGTTAAAATGTCTCAAATCCAAATGACTTCCAGAACCTAGTAGTGGTGTACTATTTATACCTTATCCATCTGCACCTAAATCTCAAAGCACAAAGAAGAATGTTCAAATTATATTCATGAGCTATAAAAGACAATTTTACCTTTATTTTTGTATCATGTTTCAAACTATTTTCAAGATGATTTATCTATATAGGAAATGTATTGGGCTTTATTGTGGAAAAAGGAAACTTCAAGCTGAATTTTAATAAAGAGTAATATATAAATGTATGAACTGATGGCAATATGTGTAGATTTTACAAATATTGTAAGACTAAAGTAACACTGTATTTCAATATTACTCTCATCATTAAAATTTTTAATATGTCTCAAAAAAAAAAACAAAAGAAAGCCATTGCTATTTGGAAAGCATCAGTATTAGAAATACTTTAAAGAACCTTAAGGAAACAAAGTTTCCTTTTTAATCATGACTTTCTATAAAAAGGCTTTTTAATTGAAAGGAAGCAAAGAATATTGCATTTCTTTTTGGTTTGTGTAGTATATATTATGTGTATAATAAATATGTGTACATATGTTTTTTCTAGTACTGGTGATTGAACCCGGTCCCTTTTCTCTGAGCTACATCTCCAGCCCTCTTTCATTTTTTGAGGCATGATCTATGTTACTAAGCTTACCAGGCTGACCTCAAATGTTCTGTCCTCCTGCCTCAGCTTTCCAGAATGCTAAGATTTACAGATTTGCATCATGACACCCAGATTTGTATTATAATTCTTATTTATTATATATTTATTCCTTTATGTATATTGCATTTATTCTGTTTATTATTAAAGTTTTAAATGGTTTGAAAGAATGGATGAAAAACTAGAGAGTAGCTAGTACACCAGAAAAATCTGGATCAGTCAATTGAGGTGAAAGGTAGGAAGGTTGAATCATCTGTGAAAGGCTCTTAACTTTGAATATTTAATTTAACCTTTGATTTCCTGTTAGTGTTTCATCACTTTACCTCTTATGATAGGCAATTGAGAACCAAACAAAAGTTTATTTGATTATTCTTTAAGTGCAATCTCATATCCAAGATTCTGAACTTATTTTTACCAAAAGAAAACTTTTGTTGTGTGAAAAATAGCTGATAGGTGAACAGTAGTTTTTTATCTTTGTTTTGCTGTGTGATGGTGTAATCTAAAATTAATAAATGTGCTTTTCCTCTTTTATGCAGGACCAGTGGCTGTAGGACAGTTTCACCGGTCGTTCCGGCGAGATAGTCTGTCTCCTTATTCCTACGTATCAACTTCATCCCACAACCACAATACTTTCCCTCTGAAAGGTTTAGATCGGACCCCGATTCCTCCCAGAACATGGCAGAGTTCCCTTGGGATGCACCCCGGACAAGTGGAGACGTCTCCTACATTTTCAGATAAGGGAGTTCCATTTCCTGTACTGCAGAGGTTTCCAACTGAGGTTACCTACACACTGCAGCCCAGCGCCACGTCTGTGCACGTTCAACAAGGTCCTCAAACAATGGTCAGCTCCTCCCAAAAATATAGTAACTACACACCCTCAGCACAGTTCTCCCAGGCCTACTATCCAACAGGTATGAGAAGTCCAAGTTCTCTGGTTTCTATTAGAGTAGTTAGTAATAGCATATTTTTTTAATCTTTTAACATACCTTTCTATACTTTTATTTTTGTTTTGTCTTTACATTTCTATTAGTAACATTAATCTCTGTGGACTTAAAAGTAGTAGTAATATGCACCCAATAAATATCAAAGATTTCTTAGCAGGACACATTTTTAAACAATATATAAAATTTCTTTATATTCTTTTTTTTTTTTTTGAGTACAATGATCGAGCTCAGGACCTTGCACTTGCTGGGCCGGCACTTATGCTGCTGAGCTATCTCTCTGGCTCAAAACTTCATTATATTCTCAAGGATCATAAAGGTGTATGTTTGTGGAACCTTTGTATCCTCGATATGTGTTCTAGTTTGAAATTAAGACTTAGGACCCTGGAACCTTACTTTAACTCTGCTCTTGATACAGTGTTTATTTTGTTTTAAACACTATTTTAAGTATATATTTTAATTTTATAAGTGAGATTAGCTCAGTGAAATCATTTTAATATCTCAATAATAAAGCTTAATGATGAAGCATACTCTCTGAAAATTCTTTACTAAAATGTGGTAAATCCTGGAGTTCCTGTGATACTCATCCTGTACAAACAAGACCTGGGGAGAAATATATAGAAGGAGAAACTGACAATGACAGTTGACCTCAAGTTCAGCCAACTATGTTGAAGTCAAGCTGGTAGATCCCAAGTTATTAACTGGGACTCCTTATGATAATGACCATCTGTTTTGTGTCTCAGAAAGAAAATGTGTTTTCTGGGTAGGTTTTTGCAAGATAATAATCTTGCCGTTTCAGGCCCAGCCAGATAGCTCAGCAGATTAAAGCACCTGCTTAGGCAGACATGGGACCAGCCCTGGCCCGCCTGCCAGCCCCGCCACGGGGCCTGCTGAGACAGCGACTGAGACTGGGTGTCATGGTGCCTGCCTATAATTTCAGCACTTGGGAGGCTGAAAACAGGAGGAGCATTAGGAGTCCAGTCTGTGTAGTGAGACCCTGTAGGCCCTGTGCTAAATACATAAGTAATAATAATTTTACCATTTCATTCAAAGTGTTTTCTACTTTGCAGAAACATCATAGCAGTAGTATGTGTTGTTTCATCACAAATTACACTTTACACAGAATAAGAAATGGATAAATAGAAGGATTAAAGGGCCGGCCCAATAGCTCAGTGGATTAAAGCGCCTGCAAGCAGATGCGGGGGCCAGGGACTCGATCCCCGGGCCCTGCCCCTGGGATGCGCTGGAATAGCAATTGAGACTGGGCGTGGTGGCACACGCCTGTGATCCCAGCTCATGGGAGGCTGTAAACATGAGGATCACTCCGAGTCTGATCTAGTAGTGAGATGCTGAACACCCTGTAGACCCTTCCCTAAAATACAATCAATCAATCTATCAATCAATCAATCAATAAAGGGTCAAAAGTTTAAGAGAAGACAAAAAGGGGAGCATTCTTTTGCCCTATGAATTAAAATCTGGAAAACTAATTAATTTTCTCTCAAATCTAAACAGTTGTTGCCACGTAAAAGTTATAAATCTGGTGCCTATTTTATTTGTAGCAAAACACACTATTTTCTAGCCTTTAATATCAAACTGTATATTTTTTATTTGTTCATTGCAGCCTACCCAGATATAAAAGCAAAGAGGATTGCTTTATTTTTTTCTAAAACTTTTAAGTTTAATAATATAATAACAGCAACAATTTAAGTTAAACTGAGTTCTTTGTATTTTTAGAGCTGCTATTCTTTCAGTGGATAGAGAAGGAAAAATGGAAACATTGCTGGGGAGATAGGTCAGGAGAATAAGCTCCTGCCTGGCAAGTGCAAGGTCCTGAGTTCAATCCCCAGTACTGCAAAAATAGAAAAAGGAAACATTATATGTATGGAGTAAGAATGATTCAGTACTTGTAGTTGTTTTACCTATGAGAAGAAGAAAAGGTTTACCACCTTATGTAAAAATGATTGAGGCCTACTATTTCTCCAGATAGTTCTTTGAAGAAAAAATATGTGCAGTCTTTAAAAAGAGAAGACTAATTTCATGTTTATAAGTTAAATAGTATATATTTTTTTCTTTACTGTATTGGAGATTGACTCCAGAGTCTTTGCACTGAGCTAAATGCACACCCTAAACCCCTTTTTTGAAAAAGAGATAGCATCTAGCTAAATTGCTCAGGTTGGGCTTGAATCTATGATCCTCCTGTCTCAGCCAATTGAGTGCTGGGATCGTAAGTGTATACCACCATGCCTTGCTCATGTTTATAAGTTACATATCTTGAATATAACAACAAATAGAGTCATTTTTATTATTGGAGAGCTTAATTCAATATTTTATTTTATTTTTTGAAATAATGTCTTGCTGTGTTGCCCAGGTTGGCTTTGAATGGGTAATCCTTTTCCTTTAGCCTCCCTAGTTGCTGGGATTCCAAGCATGTCCCACCAGGCCTAGCTTTAGTGCAGTATTTTTATTATTTTTATCTTGGCTGCATTTCATATATGCATAGGAGAGAGGGAGAGAGACTTGCTGTCTTTTAATACTTTTTTTACCTTCATAGCCCAAATAGACAATTCTTACACATCCTCTCTTTTCACCAATAAGTGTTTTCCTTGTCTTTCCTTTATTAAACTGCTGAAGTCTCAGTAATTTTGGGGGAGTTGAAATTTGGAAGAATTGTATAGGGATATAAAGAAATATGCTCTGATCTTCCAATCAGAATTTTGGAGGTACTTTCCTATGGAAATAATCAGATATAGTGGCTGAGTATTATATAATTATCATCTGAAGGTACAAATGGTTACAGTCTGGATTTTTTTTTTTTTTTTTTTTTGAACTGGGGATTGAACTCAGGCCCTACTGAGCCATCTTCCCAGCCCTGGATATTGTTTTTATGGGAAAATGTCTTCTGAGTTCCAAGTAATCCTTGTAGAAACTCAAAGTTCTAAATTTTATGAAAACTAGTTCTATATATTGTTTACCAGAAAATGCTCCAGCTAATATGATTTATTCATTGTAGATATACTATTTGTTAAATTGCTATGATTTTGGATTTATTACTGAAAAATATTTTAGTTTGGTTATAAACTTACAAAGTGAAAATTGTTAGGCTGGACACACATGATGGCACATGCCTGTAATTCCAGCACTTGCAAGGCTGAGGAAAGGAGGAGCACTACAGGCTTAAGGCCAGCTGGTGTTTCATAGTGAGTTTAAGTCCAGCCTGCACTGAGTTACATAACAAAACAATGTCTCAAAAATAAAAACAAAAACTTTTGAGTGTTGGGATTAGAAGTGTGCACCACCATGCCTGACTCTTCTGGTTTTTAAAAATATAATTTTGTCCCTTTCAAATTTTTATTTATTTTTATTATTTTTTATATATTTTGTACAGGATCTCACTATGTATCTTGGACTCATAGTCACCCTCCTGTTTGCAGCCTCCCCAGTGCTGGGATTACAGGTGTGCCCCACCAAGCCCCATCTTTGTGGCTGCCTCAGCACACCTGGGGGCAGAGGTGGCATGGCCTTTGGTGTAGGGGATCGAACCATGATCTCTGCGCTTGCCTAAGCAGGTGCTTAGTCCACTGAGATATCTCACTAGCCCTTGTCCCTTTTTTAATAGGGATAATTGAAATGACTATAAATTTTCTGAGTTTATGAGACTAAGAAATATGATCTCACGGTGATTTCTAATATATACAGTCATTCTGTGATGTCAGAATTGCTTTGAACATTCTGATTTGTTTGTTTGTTTGTTTGTTTGTTTTTTGGTAGTACTGGGGATTGCACTCAGGGCCCTCATGAAAACTAGTTCTATATATTGTTTACCAGAAACCACATCCTTAGTCCTTTATTTTTATTTGGAGACAGGGTCTCACTGAACTGCCCAGGCCGGACTTGAATTTGGGATTCTCCGACCTTAGCTTCCTGAGTGATGGGATTATGGGCATGTACCACTATGCCTGGCTTATTCTGAAATATTAATATAAATTTTAAAATTTATTGTTAAATATAAAAGACCTGCAGTAAAAAACTGTGCCATAAAAATACTTCACAAATATTTAAGTTCTTTAGTTATGGGTAAAGAAATCAAAAAATAAATGCAAGATAGGAATCAGTATTTATTGAGTATCTTTGTGAACAGCATTACAAATGACTTTCCTAGAGTTAAAAAGAATATTGCTCTTAGAATCAAGATAATAATCAGTCTTAAATTCATCTAAGTCATAATGAAAGAACTAATTTTGGCATAGTGGTCATATTTAAGTCCTTTCAAAGTGAACTGTGGCATGAGGTTTGGATCAAATTTTATTTTATTTTATTTTTTTTTAAATAGTTTTTTTTAATTATTTATTTATTTTTATTTATTACATTTATTTATTGTGTGTGTGTGTGGCCAGCTCAGCCCACCAGGGGGCGGGGCTGGCTGGCATGTGGTGCTGGGGGATCGAACCGTGGTCCCTGTGCTTTGCCAAGCTTGTTTCAAGTAGGTGCTTTAGACCACTGAGCCATCTCTCCAGCCCCTGGATCAAATTTTAATAAAAAACAGCACTCAACTTCATTAAAATTTAGTTATGTTAAAAATAAACTTGGATCTGTTCTTCAAATAGTATGACCAGTGAAGTTTGAATTTCATAATATTTAATAAATTCTTAATTTCTCTAGTAAAGCCATACTATTGAGACTGATAAATTGCTGTCAGACTGACTCATAAAATGACTCATCAGAATATCCGTGTCCTTTGCTTAAAGTGTCAGCTTTCCTTGCCTACTACCTTGTTTACATTTTTTTCTACCTTGATATCGCCTTCAAAGATAAAATGTCATTTTATCCAGTGTTTGTTGACTCTTTAGTCTTGCCCTATCTAGAGCAATTTTTTCCTGTGTTATTTTGTTTCCCACCTGATTTTTCTTTTTTTATTTAAAAAACCCTTCATTTTAGATCTTTTTATTTTACTCATTCTCCACTATATATTG